GCGTCATGCAGCGATTGACGAAGACGCGCGGGTATACAAAGGCTTGGTTAGCGAAGAGAGGATGAGTCAGCGCAGCCGTACTGAGTGCAGGCTATCGCAAGCCTTCCAAAACAGGACTTTTATTGGTTGATATTTATGATGATGTGGACTCTCCTGAATTGTCACAAGTAAGCGTACAGCACCACCGACTTAATATCCTGTCAAATATATACCTACATGTACTTTATGTCGCCTGTCATCTCTACTGTTTCGAGCTTTGTAGTATGAGTGAGGAGAAAGCGAACGGCGCTGTTCGGGAACATTCGTTTGTGACCGGGTGGGTTCCTGGAGCGACATAACGTGTGTGGTTGGTGTAGACATATGTGGTGGCTGATACATTATCATCACCATCGTGTACATCCCTTGGCTCCGAAACCGACCTGTGTGGTAGATGCGCTGACTATGTGGGCACCGGAACAAACTTGTATCCTCATTCGGAGCCTTCGAACGCGTGTTAGAGTTCATCCTTAAGCTTGTACTAATGACTGGTGGTTCCCTCGTTGAACATTTGCAAAATTGGTCCTTGATTTGGAGTGAGTAACGTATCGCGCTACGATTGTTAGTCAGTTGAAGGTAACTATTTGTAGACTTCAGCAGGAATTGAATCTGCACCCGAAATTCTCAACTTCATGCCTGCTGTATCTTAATTCCAAGGTAGCTGTGAAGAGTCAAGCGAATAAACGCCTTTTTATGCCAATCGGGTCTCTTACATCTAAACTGCCTTCAGGTAGTAATCAATTGTGAGTTCCACTTGAATATATCTATTGATGGCGTCCTCGAAAACAGTGATGGGCGAGTTAGAAGGCGTCTAGTGTTCGGCCACCATCTTCAAGGTCTACTATCTCTTCGTCAGTAAACTTGGGACTTACCGAGGAGGTAAATCCGACGGGTTGGGACCTCAGGCTCCCTTGATTGTAACAAAACGTCTTGGCTTCGCCATGACACGCTTACGTTTCGGTCAAATAAGATTTGAGGAGCAGTCAGCTGTTTTACCTCTTCATCGGAACCTATCGCGCTAGGTGAAGATACTGGAGGAATGTAGAGTTCTTCTTTACTGTGCTATTGTTCATGCATGTTCTGTGGAGTTGCTGCGTGTCGGAGACCAATCATTGCAATTTTTCACCGTTTTCATCAGACCAGCACTGACGATTTCCAGATTCAGGTACGGTGACTGGGGACGCAAGAGTATGCAGTCCCTTTCAACCCTCCTCAGTGCATTAATTATCCAGGATAGGCATTTTGGCTAGATCGGTGCTCGTTTAGACACGGAGTCCCCGTCTGCCTTCTGTCAGATCAGATGCTGCTCTACTCATTTTTGTTGATTTGTGCATGTCAGCTCAGTTTTCTTAAGGAGAAAATATGCGAACACCTTTGAACTCCTTATTGGTTAGTGGCTAGGAAATGTACCGATATTAAAGAAAAATTTAAAAAATACGTCCATTACGTTATCGTAGGCGAAAAGCTAGCACTTGTGGGTTAACAGAAAGAACAATCCCGCATGCCTACTCACTAAGCACGAGTGGCATAAGGACTGTAAATAATTGTATGGTCGCATGGCTTAGTGTTCAGCTGGTGAATGCGATGTTTGATGCATGTTCAGTTTGCTCTTAAATGAATTCACACAGATGGAGAGAAGAAAATCCTCGGGAAGAGTTTTCCAAGCTACAAACACCCTGTTACTGAAGAGACGTTCGCGTCCGTCAATCCTTGGTTTGCCTTGACCTAGTTTTAGGGAATGACCACGCAAAGTGAGCGTGTTAGCCTGAGTTAACGAATAATTGGGAACCAATCAAAATTCCAGGCATTCATAATGCGGAAAGTTAATTGAAATCCTCTAATAGTCACCTATAGGATAGGCGAAAGAGGTTGAGGGTTGACAGCCTGTTTTCAGTCTGTCTTTTCTATAGCTGATTTTGCAGACTCATTGTTGAGAAGAGCAGGTAGTGGTCAGCCCAGCATTCGACAAAAGTTCTGCCCGTGTTAATAATACGTGATGGTAACCACGCTTCCTACGGAGCACGTACCTCCGCAGTGGCGCTTGACGAGATCGAAGAGGTCATTCAGGTTTCCGGGATGCAAATTGATATCGAAAAAAGGTGTAAATGATGAGGTGGTTGTGTTTTGCAAAAGTACTCAACAGGTGGAGCCAGCCGGCTTTGCAGTGACCGACCACAGTGATCATGTTCTACGTTCCAGGTGGCATTCTACAAGTAATCGAGCACTGAAATCAGTGCGGGTAGTCACGTTGACCACCTTTGGAGCAGTAACGAGGATGACGTACAGATGTTAGTAGAACTTCCTGTCTTTTCGCTGTTACGTAACACTGTTAAAGCGTAGACGCCGATAATGGCGAATATACCTCTGAGGGACTTCAACACAGTGCTAGAAGGGCATCGTCATGGGGTCACTGTGTGAGCCAGGGCAATTCCTTTTAGAGATAAGCTAAGATAGTGGGGGCACGTGCGAAACCACGGCTCCCCCATTGGTAACAAGATAGCTAGGAAATATATAGATACAAAAGGAAAAATAGAAAAAAATACGTCAATTACACCCTTGAAGGCGGAGAAGGAGTAGCTGTTGGTTAGTCGAAATAGTATTAAAATATGACAGTTGCTTAGCTCAAGCATTATAATAAGTCTAATGTCCGTGTTTGTCTGCCCAGTGGATTAGCGGGTGGCCGGTGAATGCGGTGTTTGGTGCATGTCCAGTTTGCTCTTAAATGTATTTACACAGGTGAAAAGAAGAACCTCTTCGGGAAGAGCGTTCCACGCTGCAACCCCTCTGTTAGTGAAAAAAACATTGACGTCTATCGATCCTTGTTTTGCTGGGGCGTGGTTTTAGGGGATAACCGCGCAAAGTGGGCCTGTTAGTTTGGGTAAAAAAATCCTCGGGGAACAAAGCAACAAACCGGGACATTCATCATATGGAAGGTTAGCATGAGATACCCTCGCAGTTGCTTGTAGGAAAGGTTGAGTGTTGGCAGTCCGCTTTCATATGGCAGTATTCCCAGACCTCTAACCATTTTTGTCCCTCTCCTCTGGATCTTCCCTAAGATGGTACGGCCTTTCACAGTCTAAGGTCTCCATGCCCTAATAGCATACTCTAGGTGCGGCCGAACGAAGCTTTCAAATATTTGGAAAAGCTGTCTTTTCCAAACCCCATTAAGGCTCGTCTAATCCAGTCAAAAAGTATTGGATCCATAGAAGGATGTTCCCGCGAAATAACATCTGAGAAGAGGTCACATATGTGGATTCTCAATCCATTCATTTTTGAGAGTACGCTTTGCGCGTTGGTATACATGAATGTTAACATGGAATTCGTGCGAATTTCAATAGACTGCATCGGGGATAACCCCGATGCAGTCTATTGGAATAGCCTTGCAGTCATTCGAACCGGCATGATCCAAAAGGAGACACGAAGTCGTTTGACTATCTGGTCTCTGTATATAATTAGGTCCTGTTCGACGCTGCCTCGCCGTGTTCTCAATTCTAGAAATCAATCGCGGCGTTTCATCCTTTGCCAGGAGAGTAATAGAACTGGAAGGTAGACTTTTTGCTTGCTCATCACTTTTTAGGACGGTTTAAAGTGGTCGCGACCTAGCCTGTTGAGTTATATTTAGGCGATTTCCAAGCCGAAAGGCCTTTCAGATGAAGATTTCCTCTGTTGGTTACAACAGTTCGTTGAGGAGCTCTTGGAATAACTCTAAGTCAGCAGCGGGTCGGTCTTTGAGGATGTAAGCGGAGGACTCGGAGAGTCCCTGGATTATGATGCAGTCACCCTTGCCAGAGACAGGTCTTTTAATTGCTGATTTGTCGTTATCCGCGAATAGCTTAGCATCGTCATACTGAGCTGGTAGGACGGGGATGTTTGCCCGGGAATCCGAGATGGTTATGCTTTGCGTGCAGTCTCCGATGCCTTCGTTCAGAGGGCAGTGAGAAATATTCGACCCTACCGAAGTTGGGGTTTCCTCAACTTCTAACAATTGCTTGTTGTTTAACTTCAGCGATGATACCCATTTAAGCATTCAGGAAGTCAAGATAGGCGAACGAACGTTTTCGATTAATTCATCATCAGGTATGTGCAATAATATAAAGGGGTAGAGTTAGCAAAAATTTAAGCAACCAATCAACGGTGAATAAGGGGGGAGGGGGAATGGTTAAGAGATCAAAGGGGGGATGAGGGACGTGTCCTACAAGAAGTTCATATCAACCGGTCATTTCCTCGTCGCTTCGCGGCATCGTGGCACCAGCTGTCACTGTCGGAGTATTTCAGATCAACGCTAGTAAATTGTTGCTACCAATATCTGAGAACTGAAACTCTAGGCGTTGGACACATCACGAAACAGCACCTGGAGAAACTCAAATTGTTGCACCAAAACACTGAAATATTCTTCACTAAACCGGACAAAGGTTCTGGCCTCGTTTTTATGAATAAAAATGTTTGCGTCTCCAAGATCGAATCAATCCTGGCTGACGACACTAAGATCAAAAGGGGAAGACAGAATAAGGACCAAACCGAGAGCGTAGAATCTCAACTCACAACTTGTCTTGAGAAACTGAAAGACCAAGGTTCCCTTAGTGAACAAGAGTTAGAAGCGCTCAAACCTACAGGCACAGTCCCCCAAGGCAATATGCTTTGCCTAAGATTCACAAACCAGATGTTCCAATACGGCCAATAATTGATATGTGCAATTCGTCATATCATGCAATTGCAAAGGGCTGGCAGAAAAAACTGAAACCAATTTGGCACCAAATAGCACCGTACAGCCTACGGGACACGTTTGAATTCGTCGAGTCCATAAGAAACACAAACATCGAGGGGAAAACGATGTTATCCTTAGATGTCGCGTCTCTGTTCACCAAAATTCCCCTCTCAGAAACCATAGAATATTTGTGTGACGAGATTGTTAAACAGGATTTTCCAATCGGCATGCCGATCGGAGGCCTAAAGGAACTACTCTTCCGTTGCACGGTAAACATGCAATTCAGCTTTAATGGACAATTTTACCGCCAAATCTACGGTGTAGTTATGGGATCACCACCAGGACCTCTTTTAGCTGATGCCCTCATGGGCAAACTGGAGAGCAACAAACTTTCCCTTATTATAAAGGATCTTCCTTCCTATGCTAGATATGTGGACGATATATTTGTAATAGCAGATGGAAGTATTGAGTTGGGCACTTTCTTAGCTAAAGTGAATCAGAAGTACCCAGCGGTAACCTTCACTCTGCAAAAAGAGAACAGACAGTGCCTTCCCTTTCTAGACGTCCTTCTTAGTAGAAGTCCCGATGGAACTATAAGTAGAGGTGTATTTCACAAGAAAACCTGGACAGGGCAATACACTAATTTCTACAGTTTTGTGCCACTAATTCAGAAAAGAGGCCTAGACCGCTGCCTCACGAACCGAGCCAGGAGGATCTTTTCCCCAGAGACACTGAAGAAAGAACTCGTGCTCATTAAAAACACCCTACAAGAAGATGGATTTCCCGAGAAGTTCACCAATAAGTTTATGGAAGAAC